ATAAAAAAGTACGGCTATAAAAGAATAAGACTATAAGCGGGTAAGGCTACAAGAGCTACAGAAAACATAAGGCTATAAGACCGTAAGGCTACATGGGCTATGAGCGGTATAAGGATATCACGCTATAGGGCTCCTATGTACATACTATCGAGTGTCTGTGTCTACGTATTACAGAGTGAAAGGTTAAGGTTTTGAGATCGTACGTTAAAGAAAATGAAGCTACCATGCAGTATGCACGGATTCTCGCTAATCGTCAATATTGTTGTCTCAGCATGTGTTTTCAAACTGTTTTCTCCATTCCCTTATTCATTGATGGTCCGCAAGAAAAATAAAGAGTTGTATCAAAATGCATAAATACAAAATTTGATTCTATCAAGATAGGAAGGCTCGTACCAATACACTGTAATTTTTTATGAAATTCAATTTTGTAGAAAATCGTCTTTAACTAAGCTAAAGCATTTTCAAACTTTTTTCATTCATTCATCGAATTTCTGCTATTTAGAAAATCTATAATTTTCGAAATAATAGGAATTCAATTCTGTTTCGTGTTTAAAATCGAAACTTGAATATGAATATTCTATTTGCAAGAAAGTAGAAATTCATCGTTGCATTCGTATGCGCATTCCTAGAATATCCAGTACAAATTCATATAGGCATTCTATTTTTTTAAAGTGTAATGCTTACATAACAGAGGTATTCGTGTAGGCGAGGGTACAAATATTTCGAAGAAATGTTATTTTTCATTCTGGAGGTATAAAATATAGTCCTAACGTCGAGACTTCGCCACCACCATCAAACAATGGTCACTGAAAAGACGAGCTTATCTAAGTCGACTCGATACATCGACGTGCAATTGTTTCAAAAGCTCTTTTGTGATATGAATTCACAGTACAAACACAAGTTGTTTCCAGCCCTTGGATAGCCAGATGGAAATGTATATCCCGCAATTGTTGATTTGTGCCAAAATGCAATTTACCACTCAATTGGATGTTGAGTTACTTTTAAACAGACTAGATCATAACGGCTGAGATAAGGTTTTGATGTTATCAGAGGTGTGAACTTATCTTTCAATAAAAAAATGGAGCATTCAATTTACTAAAGGCGGTAACTCAATACGAGGTTTTTTTTTCAATTTAAGCCTCCATTTATTTTTTTTTTTTTTTTTTTTTGAGTGGCTGAATATTCGGATTTATTTTGTTGGTCATCATAATGTAGTTCATCGATAGATGTATGGTACACTTTTTTTTTATTCAAGGAGAACTTACTGCATAATTTTGATTCANTTTTGTGTAGAGGAAGTATCAAGTACTAAAGTTGGTTTATTACGTTTACCTTCAACAATATATGGCATCATTTTGTGTAATAATGAAAGAATATAGCAAAAACATTGAATTTCCTCTTTCCTCTTTCCTCTGCATAAAGGGTGGCCCAGAAGTCTTGACTAGATTCGTATAATTGATTTTTCTATATCAAAAGACAGAGTTAAAAATTTGTCCTTATGATAAAAAGATGCAGTAAAAGACACTCTATAAAACAGCCTATAACTGATCCTTTCGGACTCATATGCTAAGAAAGTTATAAGCTTAGAAATATGCCTCACAAAAAAAAAGAAATTAACTGTGCACTTGATCGTAATATTTCCACCATAACTTTTTTTCCTTAGGTTCCCTGAAGCAAATTCTATTTTCAATAGAAGCATTGTGAAATTCTCTACAAAATCATATCTAGACTTTAACTTCAGAACTTCAATCAAGAAAAGTAAGCATATAATACGGAAGACAAAAAAGAAAAAAAAATTTGTGAATTTGGCATTTTTTTCGACTTGAACTTTTTCTTTTCCTGTTATTTTCATAAAAAAGCGTAGCACAAGTGAGAAGTGAGTTGTATTTGGTACTTTCAAATGTGATCTTTCTTATGATCTATAGAAAATTGTTGTTAGAAAAGATAGTGTGTTGGAGAACCAACTTTCAAAAATACGTCAAAAATCTACAACCTAGTTGTCGACACTATACTCAATAAGGAACGAAAAACCGAATCAACGTTTCGATGTTGCAGCTTGGTAGAGAAGAGCAACCATTTCTAATGAAAACAAAACAAACCTGACCTAAAAATCTTTTATTTCGATGAAGTTATGGAGTTTTTACTGGAAGCACCAACTTATAAACAAAGTTCACGGTTAATTTTTATTTTGTGTGACACATATTTCTAAGCTTATAACTTTCTTAGTATATGAGTCCGAGGGGGTCAGTCATAGGCTGTTGTGTAGAGTGTCTTTTACTGCATCTTTTTATCATAAGGACAAATTTTTAACTCTGTCTTTTGATATAGAAAAATCAATTATACGAATCGAGTCAAGATTTCTGGGCAACCCTTTATATAATATTGTGCACCTCAGTTGTGTTTATAAAATGATATCTTCCTCAATTATAAGAAAATCTAATCGTTACAGATACAGGAATGCGGTGTTCTATTAATGCAATTGTAAGCACTCTACTTCACGGAAAGAAATTCACTATGGTTTTCTTTTCAGTATTAGTATTCTGAGTCTACAACTTTTATTACTCTATTAAAGGATACTTAGTGTGTACAAAAAGTTCGTATCCCGACGTTACTTAGTCATATAATAAGCTTTAGGAAACTTTCTTTCTATATGGTCTGATAGAGAAAAAAATGCTCTATTTTTCTAACCTATATGATCATAGTTCAACTAATATCATGATAATAAATTTTCAATAAGACTTTTTTCGTGATCATACGTACTCATAGTACTAGATTACAACGGATGAAGCAGGTTATTTTTTAACCCCTCAATGTATTTTATTAACAAGTAAACTATACCATAAGATGCAGCGTGAAAAGCTCTACAATTTAGATAAGACCACTTACTTTATAGTTGCCTTTTTTGTTTTCCATATAAACAAAGTTTTCAGGGGCCAAATTTTGGGCATTGCAAAAATTGGTCGCACAGAATTTTCCTTCTTTTAAACACAATTACAATATGCTTTACTATGAAGATTGTAGAACTTTTCTTGCTGCGTCTTGTAGTTTTTTTTTCTTTTGATAAAGCATATCAGGTAACGGAACGATGAAATAACGAAACATGAAGTGATCCCGTATCAAAAACATTATCAATTTTGCGTAGTCACAATTTGATTGCCCAAAATTTTGTCCATTTTGAAAACGAAAAGTGCAAATATAAAATAAGCGGTCTTACGTAAATTGCAGAGGTTCTCACGGTGCATCTTATGGTATATTTTGGTTGTTAATACAATGTATAAAGGGATTGGATACTGCAACGCAAATCTTACCAGAGCAAAAATGATAACAAATAAAAATCTTATCGAAAATTTTTTATTATGATATTAGTTGAACTATGATTAAATAGGATAGGAAAATAGACCATTTTTTCTCTATCAGACCATATCGAAAGAAAGTTTCTTAAAGCTTACTACATGGCTAAGTAACGTCGGGATACGAACTTTTTGTACATCCTAAGTACTGTCAAAACCTATTCATTCTTCATGAAATTCTAAGAAGTGAAAATAATATTGAATCGAACGAAAAACTTTTGTTTTTCTATAATAAATTTCAAGGTTGTTTTTTTCATTTTTCATAGCAAGAAAAATATATCTAGGAAAATTGACATGATTTTGTTTTATTTTCCTGCCAAAATATATATCAGTATATGTTTTTTCATTTGTTTCTCATACTCATCATTCTCACTTACAAAGATTTTCCTTTTCTCCGAGTTATTTGTATTTTTGATTTTTCAGTGAAATATATACATGTCGTATCAAAATCATTGCCGTTTTTTTGAAAAAAACCATAGTTAATTTTAATTTTCGAAAAGCTCAAACTGTAGAAATTAAAATTTTCAGTGATGTCGAAATGTTTTAATGAAGTCATAATCTAGAAAATATTAGTGTAACCATGATTTTAAACACACATTACTTTCTTCGAGTCGATTCGCATTAGACAAAAAACAATTCGTCTATCTATTTAAATCATTCTTTGCTTTTGAACTAAAGAAAACATAGAACATAAGAGATTTGAGTGCTCAGTTATTTTAGTCATTATTAAAATTATCTTGTAAAAAAAAGACATGAGAAACAACTTCAAAATTTTTTGTAAGACGTCTCTGAGATATCAAAATCAATGTGTCATAAATTCTGAAGTTATAAATCTTCATTAAAGAAGAAATAAGAGTGAAAAATTGAGAAACAATATGACACATTTCAATACTTAGCATGATAAAATAAAGCACTCAAAATAAAGGGAATACTCTACGTTACAAGTTATTCTTTATTAGTCGCTCTCTGAAAGTAGCTATTTAAATATAACGAATTGTGCATAACTGTTGTATTTGAATAGAAAACGAATAAAATCTAATTCTTTTTATTGTTAGATAGAACTCTAAAGATGACAGAATAAAAATTTTAATGAAATATTCTTAGTATTCTTCTACCTTGCAAAAATTTCTATCTAGTGAGTTGGCATATGACAAAAAGTTATATGATTGAACTTTGTTCCCTCGAAGAAATCAGTAGCATAATTTCAAAAATATTCAGTATCCTTTTTAGCAATTTTCGAAACATGTCTTTAAATGATTCGATTATTTTTGCTCATGCTGAAATAGAAAAAGCTTAAAGAAAAACAGTCCTTCTATCATGAATGCCATATTAACTTATTAATTTTTCAAAAGTGTACCAGAACATCCAATAAAATATCTACAAAACTATATCAAGCTTATATTTCTAATTACTACCAAGGACATATCCTAACTGTCGAGGCACAATTTTACCACCTGCTTCGTTTTAATATACAAGAAACAAGTTATTCTTTCAAAAATGTTCGACTAAAACCCTTAAAATAGTAGTTAGAAACATCTTTTTATACGTATTCGCAGAAAAAAATGACATATTTGATCAGAACATAAATCTAAAACATTAGATATTTCATGAATTGTCAACAAAATGAAGAGCTCATTTTCATTGGCATCAATGTTTACTTCTACTCCGTACTGTTGTTTGATTTCAGTACCCGTACGTGCAAGTATGGTTGGTATTCATCCAAATGCAAGATGGTCACAAAATGGTATCACTGTTGCTGGAGGAAATGGACAGGGCAGGGAAACCAATCAACTCTGTCACCCATGGGGTTTGTACGTCGATGACGATCAATCCATTTATGTCGCTGATTACTATAATCACCGTATTGTGGAATGGAAATATGGTGCAACGAATGGCACAGTTGTGGCTGGGGGAAATGGACAAGGGAATGTAGATCATCAATTATATAACCCATATGATGTGATTATCGACAAAGAGAGCGATAGTCTCATCATTTCAGATCACAATAATGGAAGAATAGTTCGATGGCCACGTCGAAATGGTACTCGTGGAGAAACAATTATTTCAAACATCTCTGGCAACGGCATGACAATGGACGACAATGGTTATCTCTATATTGTTGCCTTTGGAAAACATGAGGTAAGATGATATAAAATTGGTGACACGCAGGGCACAGTTGTTGCAGGTGGCAATGGACCAGGAAATCGTCTCGATCAACTTTGTGATCCTTATTGTGTATTTGTTGATCGAGATCATTCAGTTTATGTGTCTGATAGTAGAAATCATCGTGTAATGAAATGGGAACAAGGTGCAAAACAAGGCATTGTCGTAGCCGGTGATCAAGGAGAGGGAAATAGTTTTACACAATTGACTGCTCCTCAAGGCATCGTTGTTGATCAATTGGGTACTGTCTATGTGGCTGATGATGGGAATAATCGAATCATGCGTTGGGCGAAAGGAGCCACAGAAGGAAATGTCATTATTGGTGGAAACGGGCAAGGAACACAGTCAAATCAACTTAGTGGTCTCGTAGGTTTATCATTCGATCGACATGGCAATCTCTATGTCGTTGATCAGTGCAACCATAAAGTACAGAAATTTAATATCGAATAAACTTAATTTGGATGATTTTTTTTGTTCCGTTCTCTTTTTCCTTTTACAAATAAATCATAATTACATGAAAATTGCATTGAAAGCTATTCACTTCTCTCGCGTAACCACAAATTGTCCAGATGAAACCGTGACCAGTGTAATGCTCATGCACGCACGGAAAGACTCATAGTCTAATCCTCAACTAGCATAGCTCACTCTTTCTCTCAGAATCATCTTAACTGAACTCAAGAAAACAAATGACGGAAGGTCTTGCCATCCTTCATTTAATACTAAAAAGAAAAAAAAAAGGAAAAGAATAAAATTGATACCCACATCTTTTTGGTCTTGATTTGAATCGAGTTGAATAGCTTGATTTTGTATTGTTAAAGTCAGCTTAAAACAAAAAAAGAAGATGACTAAAATTTGATTCAACAAATTGAATAATGTTACATAAGAAATCATCCATATTTATATGTCACAAGGTTTATTAATGTTTTCGTCAGACAGCAGTGAAAAGATGAAATTAATTTAGCTGCTATCAATGAATAAACATACATTGAGATAAATCAATTATAAATATCTCAATTTATGTGTATGGATAATGATTAATTCACGAATACAATCACTACCATCATTGACGGACGAGAGTAGAAAAAAATTGTTCTGACTTGTATCCTTTTCTTATACTACTCTTTCCTCCGAATTCATTTGTGTGTGCATGAAGCAGAGGAATACATGTTTTATTTCACTTTAAATAAACTTTAATGAAATATAAAACTGCTACGAAAAACATTATTTGATTTTTATCAAAAATCACATTTATTTATTCAAGCTTTCGATAGGTTACACCTATCATCATCAGGAATGACAAAATAAAAAGAAAAACTATGT